AGATGCTGCTCTCGGCGATGTCGGGCTCGGCGATGTCGTCCCCGCAGCCCGTCAGGGAGTCGAAGCTCTTCAGGGAGGTGACGTCTCCCAGGATGAGGCTCAGCAGGTCCCCGGAGTGCAGGCAGGGAGGCTCGCCGTCCACGAGGTCTGGGTGGAAGGCCAGCAGCAGACTGTCACGGTCAAACTCGGCGCAGGCGGCGGCGTCAGCCTCCGATTTCGTATCTGGAGCGTCTCCATCTCCTGGCACCGCCACCACTGCATCGCCCTCGGAGCTGCCCCCTTCGGCCACGGGGCAGGAGGGCTCAGAGGCCTCCCCACAGCTGGGCTCACCCCCCGGGCAGGCCGTGGGCACAGGGACCGGCCCTGCTCCCCTGCCTTCCGCAGCCCCCTGGCTCTCCCCTGCCACCCCTGGGGCACTGCTGGGCTCCTCGGGGTCCCCGTTCCACTCGGGGAGCTCTGCCCTCTCCCCCTCTGCAGCCTTGCTCTTCCTGTGCCGCCGGATGCTGTTAAAAAACCCCTTCAGGCCCTTTTTGGGCCTGGGAAAGGAAGACTTGTCCCCACTGGGCTTCTTGTCACAGCCCTCGATGCTCCCAGCGGGAGAGCTGTCCTGCTGGCCCAGGTCCCCCCTGGCTCCGGTGTCCCCGGGCAGCTGAGCGCTGCGGGAGCAGGGCAGGGAGCCGGGATGCACATCCAAGGGGCTGTCGGGCTGGGCCCTGTCGGACGTGGCACTGCTCAGCCCGTCGTGGGTCTTGCACTTGCTGAGCCCCTTCTTGCCCTGGCCCTTGCCCCGGCCCCCGAAGAAGCTGGGCAGGGTGCAGATGCTCCTCTTGCCCCCGAACAGCTTGAAGGCTGTTTTCCGCAGCTTCCCGGGCGGCGGCGGCTGCGGCTCCGCGGAGTTATTGGCCCCCTCGTGAGGAGCATCCCCGCCCTCCTCCCGCCGCTGGTCACCGCCGGCCCGCTCCTCCAGGCTGCCCGTCTCCATGGCAGCAGGGCTGGGATCTAGCTGGGAAGGGCGGCTTCAGGAGCACAGCCCTCCTGCAGCGGGGATGGGCTCATCACAGCTGACCTAGGACAGAGGGAAAGGTGACAGAGGTGAGGGGAAGGTGCAGAGCCAGGGGTGTCACAGGGAGAAGGACTCCATCACCAGCTGGAACTGGAGCTGCAGGTGCCTCGGAGCTCCCTCCACTCCCAAAATCCAGCCAGCAAAACGTAGCGATGCTTAAATTTAGCAGTTCACCAGAGCAGGCAAATCACACGTCTCCACCAGGCAGCGTCCCTGGGGACAGGCAAGTCTGACCCCCAAGCCAGCTCGCTCCAACCCCTTCAGCTTTGCAGATTGTTTGGGCTCCAGGGACATGAGGTTTGGCCACCAGCCGCCTCTGAGTGAGGAAACAGAGGCTGCTCCAGCAGGGAGAAAGGCTGGCACCTGCCAAACCCCACTTCCCACCCTCCCACACCCCCTGCCAAGCTCCAGGGAACATCCTGAGGGAAGCCAAACCAGGACACAGCCCTCACACTACACACGTGCCCAGGAAAAAAAAACCACTTGGGTTACTATGCTGGGTTTTTTTTAATAGAAGATTTCAGTTGTTTTTAAAATAATCTGTCCAGTGAGGGAGAATCGCATTAAAAACACCCACTGTGAACCCCCTGATCAGATTATCCTGGAAGGAGAGAGGCAGGTTGGAAATCTGACCCTGGATCGCTGTCAGGAACGGAAGAAATAAAACAATTACAATCACGTTTCTTCTGCAGAGATGATGGTGGAGAAATTAAATGCAATAAAACCCTCATGCACTGCCAAGCTGTAATGCCTGAGGCTGAGCTCTGACCAGCGTGAGGCCAGGGAAGCTCCCCGTGGTGTTGAGCCAGAGATCCCAAATTAAAAATACATCCAAAAGGCCTCTGCTCCTGCAACCCCACAGAAAACCCGCCATCTCAGGGTTGGTTTTTTCCCCTCAGGTCTGGGTTGCTTTGCCTCTACGATTTGGAATCATTGACCATGGCAGGGCTTGGAACTGGATGGGCTTTAAGGTGCCTCCCAACCCAACCCATTCCATGACTCTGGAATTCTGGGATGGGTGGTAACCCCTCACATTCACCTGTCCCTCTGGAACCAGCAGCTAGGGCGTAGCTGGGGTCGCCTTCCCACTGGCAAAATGGGCTTTTCCAGCTCTGCCAGAGCCTTCTCAGAGTCCCAGATGTCTCCAAAGCCTCTGGAGCATCGCTGGGCCTGGAAGGGACCCCCATTCCTGGTACCTGTGCAGGGCTGCTGGAAATCTGGGCGCTGGAATGACCCCACAGCTGTACCTGGACAGCGGCTCCTTGAAAAAATAGCAATGGGGGGGATAAAACAGAGCCAGGATTTCACAAATTCCATTTGGGAATCATTTCTCCCCGGCTCCACGTCAGCACAGGCTGCGGGCACCGGAGGGGAAGGGGGTGTTGGAGAAGAATAAAAAAAGGAAACAAACAAAAATGGAAATAAAGACAAACGAAATGCACCGAGGGCAAAGAGCCCCGACTAATTAGGGTTTAAAACCACCAACAAAAACCAGCACCGCAACAATGAAGCGCAGCGGCGGGGACCCCGCGGGACCCCCGGCCCGCCCAGCCCTGCGGGAAGGAGGCCCCCCCAGCCCGGCCCTCCCCGCTCCCCCCCGCTCCCAAACTTTCGGCAGGACCCCGGAGATCGCCAGGGGCGGCCGGGCCGGGCCGCGGGGGAGCGGCTCGGCGGGAGCGGGCACGGGCGGCGCCGGGCCCGCGGCAAACCCTCCCCGTGCCCCGCAGCACTTACCGGCGGGGGTGCCGGAGCCCCCCGGAGCCCCCCGGGAGCCGCTCGGGCCCCGCCGGACCCCGGCCCAGCCCTCAGGCCGCTCAGGGGCCGCGGGTCCGCCCGGCGCGGCCGGCAGGGGCGGTGCCGCGTGACGGTGGGGGCGGGGTCAGGGGCGGGGCGGGGCCCACTCACGGGGCGGGGCCTCTACCGGCGGCTCGCAGTGGTGAGGGGGCGTGGTCTGATGCAGGGGGCGTGGCCTCAACAGTGATGTCACAGTGCCAATGGGCGCGGTCTTGTACAGAGGGCGTGGCCTCAGGGATAGACTCGCAGTTTGGGGCGTGGCCTACGGGGGCGTGGCCTGCACAGTGGGATTCAATTATGGAGGGGCGTGGCCTCGGTGATGAAAGTGACGTCACTCCCGGGTGGGTCTGGGTTGTGGCGGGGGCGTGGTCTCGGTGATGTAAGGGGCGTGGTACCTATGGGCGGGGCTAGTTGACAGTGGGCGTGGTCTCTGTGCCGAGGGGCGTGGTCTCCCCGCGGGGGGTGTCCGCGGCACGGCGGGTGACAGAGGGACTGGGGGGTCCCGGACATACTGACAGGGGGGAGATGACACTGCCGGATGTGACTCTGGGCGGACGGTGGCGTGTGCGCGTGGCGCGGGGACACCGCCCTGCCTGTGCTGCTGCCACCACGTGGGTGTCACCCGCGGGCCACCGCTGCACCCCCGGCTCACACCACACACCCATCGCAGCCCGAGTCACACCCCGCCCGCACCCACCACTGCATCCCCAGCTCACACACCCCCTCACCCCCCAGCTCACACATCCCCTCACCCCCAGCTCACACACCCCATCACCCCCCAGCTCACACATCCCCTCA